TTAAGGGTAAAAAATATTATAAGTGTCATAATGCATGGTCACATTTGACTAACAACTGTTTGTTTTTCCGTCATGTGTTACAGGATGCCATCGAATCAGGATGAATTACGTTCGAAGATAAGAAGAAGATGGAAGTGGATGAGAACCCTTTCCCACAACCACTTTGAGTAAATATGGTGACAACTGGGTTTAAAAACAAGTTGCCAAAATTCAAATTGGTCATAGATGACGGAGAAGAGGACTCTGAGTCACCCCCCAGCGTCTTCGAACGCATCAAAGGGAAGAAACCCAAACAGGATGAAGACGTCCTATGTGCCAGATGTAAAGGAGAGATGAGTGGAGAAATAGGGAGTTCAGGAGCAGGGTATCGTCACCATCGCCCTAATTTTGTTCCAAACGTGCAGCCAGTTAGAGGGCGAGGTACGTCATTCTATACAGGATCGCCTTTCGAGAGGTAATTCAGGCCTATGAATAATGTGAGGACGTTTAGGCCGCAACCTCACCAACCAAATGTATGGCATTCATTCTAGTACAATACAGGAAGGGTGACACCTTTCAATGAGATGACTAGAACCCAATAAAGGCATTTTCAACATAATTATGGACGAATGATGAGGCAACAACAGGTATTGATACGTCCTAAAGCACCTAAACTACTCGAGGTGGCTAATCAAAATGTCCAAGGAGACAGTGAAGAGAGTGGTACCGGCAAATCGATGGGAGAACTACAGAAAGTTCTTTTGGGAGATCGAAATTTGAGCGAGATAGAAGGGATGAAGAAGATCCGGATCAGTCCCTTACTATTCAGTTTGGTACGTTACCTCCCGTCATGGCTAATAATTATTTACTAGCCAACGAATTCAAGAACAAAGAGAAAGAAGAAGAAAGAGAGGATAACGAAGAAGAAGCGTGTATACTGGAATGTGAAGAAGGCCAAATTTCCAGAGGGGCCTGTGATGAAAGACAGGATAACGAAGAAGAAGNGAATGTGAAGAAGGCCAAATTTCCAAAGGGGCCTATGATGAAAGAAAGGATAACGAATAAGAAGCGTGTATGTTGGAATGGGAAGAAGGCCAAACTTCCGAAGGGGCTTACAATGATGAAGAGGATGATGGCATGACAGACATCAAAGAAGAAATTGATCTGGAGGCGAAAAGAAGAAAGAGAGGAGTATTGCGTAATACTCTGTTGAAACAACTACATCGAGAGGGAGTTCGTGAAGTAGACTTGTTGGGGAACCATCTGGGCATTCTTTCGATTATTATGTACTGTACGGGAAGCCCAAAAGTAAGAAGAGAGTACCTCGCTCTGAAAAATATGGATCACCTCCAAGAATATTGCCCCCTCCTACCGGTTGGGTAATTGAAAAGGAAACTCCGGAATGTAGTAAAAAGGAAGTCTGAGAAGTAGAAGCTCAGTGCGACATACATCATGTTGACTTATCACAAAACGATAGTTCAACAGAAGACAAGCAAAAAGTGGAAATAGATGCTGCGAAAAGGTCATTTTCAAAAAGCCAGCCATGAAGTTGACCAAACACTTGAGAGGCCACTATATGTTAAGCCTCTAGTTAACGGCATACCCATGGTGAAAGTACTCATTGATAATG